ATTTTTCTGGCAGCTTTTCATTGAGTGGGTGTTTTCAGAGAACTAGTCACAATGATTTCAAAATTTCTTTCTAGAGTGGTAACAGCTAATTTATACCCCGTTATTTTGTTTGTCTAGTTGGGCTTATGTTTTTCAATATGTATTAGTTGAAAATCAACATTGAATTTCATCTGCCATTTTGTTGCCCAATCATACAGTTTTAGGTCCCACTTTTCAGTTTAGAAAAGAGGAGACTGAGGGGGGATATGATAGAGGTATATAAAATCATGAGTGGTGTGGAGAGGGCCGATACAGAAAAGTTATTTATTAGTTCCCTAAATAGAAGAACTAGAGGACACCAAATGAAATTAATGGGTAGCAGGTTTAAAACTAATAAAAGGAAGTTCTTCTTCACACAGCGTGTAGTCAACCTGTGGAACTCCTTGCCAGAGGAGGCTGTGAAGGCTAGGACTATAACAGAGTTTAAAGAGAAGCTAGATAATTTCATGGAGGTTAAGTCCATAAAAGGCTATTAGCCTGGGGATAAAATGGTGTCCTTGGCCTCTGTTTGTCAGAGGCTGGAGAGGGATGGCAGGAGACAAATCGCTTGATCATTGTCTTCGGTCCACCCTCTCTGGGGCACCTGGTGCTGGCCACTGTCGGCAGACAGGATACTGGGCTAGATGGACCTTTGGTCTGACCCAGTACGACCGTTCTTATGTTCTTATAACTCTTCACAGACTGCTTTGGACTTTATGGAGCAAACAAGTATAAGGAGGGCCCGAAAGGGGCCTCACTACTCTGGGCTGCGAGTTTTGTATTCTTATTCTGCAAGGTAGAGCACAGAACCTCACCATGAATGAATTAGGGGCACAAGTCCCATCAACTTCCCAATGGGCTCATGCTTCTATAAGCCCCATATATGCTTTTGAGGGGGGAAAAAATCCTGACTTCCAGGATAAATTGGTAGCATCATTAACTTCAAAAGAACTATGCTAGTTTACACCAGCTGAGGACCCACAAGCACTATCACCACACTGGCTGACTTTACAGGACAATAAAGTGCTCAGTGATAACAATTAATTAATTAGCATATATTTAGCTGGGTCATGTTGGGTGTCATATTATACAGCGTTTGGATTCTTTCCAGAGAGTTTTGCAATAGCTTGCTCTGAGCTCTAATGAAGAAGAATTTACCAGAGTTATGATCAAGTTGTCAGTTTTGTCCACTATTGTACCACGCACGCTTTGAAAATGTGATAGAGGAAAAAACTCCAGTGATTCATTGCAGTACTTCAGACAGCTATTTAATATTTCAATTTGCTAGAAATACAGCTTTTAAAAAGAGTTTTCAAGGTGATTCTAAAAATTCCAACTCGTGTTTCTCTTGCTCTATTCTTTGGATGAAACTGCTCTCTTCTCTCTCACTCGCTGTCAGTGAAGACTACCATCTGATTGATAACTGGGCATCAGCTTTATGTGATGATGCAGGGTATGGCTTAAAGTACCATCTTGCTTACACAAAAGCATTAGAAATCAAAGTTCCAAGTTTTGGCAATATACATTAAACATTTTTAAAAATTAGAAAATTTAATTGTGTCTATTAATTTTTAATAGGAATATAAGAATAGCCATTCTGGATCAGACCAAAAGTCCATCTAGCCCACTATCCTGTCTTGTGACAGTGTCCAATGCCAGATGCCTCAGAGGGAATAAAGAGAATAGGTGATCCATCCCATCACCTATTCCCAGCTTCTGACAAACAGGCTGCGACATGATTCCTACCCAGCCTGGCTAATGACTATTAATGGACCTATCCTCCAGGAATTTATATAGTTCTTTTGGAACCCTGATATAGTTTTGGCCTTCACAACATCCTTTGGCAGGGAGTTCCACTGTTTGGCTATGCCTTGTGTGAAAAAATATTTATTTGTTTTAAACCTGCTACCTATTAATTTCCTCGTTCTCGTGTTACAGGAAGGAGTAATTAACTTTTCTTTATTCACTTTCTTCACACCAGTGGAAAGCAGGAAAGTGATTCTGGACCATAGATAGCAAATGTTTATACACACTTATCAGATTTGCCACATGCATATCGTTATACACAAAATCAACCACCATGAGATAATGGACTGGGGAGTAGGCTTATATTGGGTTAAGGTTAGGAAGGGAGGGACTGCAAGCACTTTGGAAGACAGAATTAGAATGCATGAACTTGAGAACAGGTCTGAATTCAACAAAACGTACTCCTGCTTTCCTTGAGGAATAAGCTTATTTCAAAATAGTTATTTTGGGAGTTATTTCAAATTTACTTATTTTGAAATAATTTCCTAGTGTAAACATGGCCTAAGAGAGATTTCAGAAATTGCCTTGGGCCCTATAACTCTGACCTAAACCTTAATACAATTCTAAGGGGAGCCAGCTTTTATAGCTTTTGGGAAAATGCCTGAAGAATCAGACCTGTAGGATTTTATTTGCCCTTGCAAAAAGAAAATGGTCACCGTGTAATCTCTATGACTTCAAATATTTCAGTAAATATTTCAATAATTAGAAGAAATTGAATCTGGGGCTTTTTTTCTAGTCAGATAAAATCTGGACATTTCTATTAATTTCAAATACCAAATCTCCTATAAAGCTTTGAGTCTGTGAATTTGTATCTGCTTTAATTTCTTTCAGGTTCTGGCATAAAATAATAACTGGTAGGGGCTTTGATTTGCTGTATATGGTTTATGAACTGCGGTCTTGTGGGTACTGTTTAACATATAGACTCAGAAGCCACAAAAAAGTAGAGAAAAATAGCAAGTGGCGCACTCCCTAAGAGACTGGGATTGGCTATGGAAGGTAGAAGAAAACATAGTTAACACCTTAGCTGCTACTGTCATTGCACCATCTGTTAACATTTCCTCTTTGCTTATATTTGCACAACGTATTTTACCGTATTTTAACAGTGGAGAGTTAAGGTTGCTCAAGTGCATTTCCAATCAAGAAAACCACTAGAAATTCAGGAAACCATCAATTAAGTTAGCATTCACATCCACATCAACCTCTTATCATCTAAATATTTAGACACTCAAACATATTCACAGAGCGCACAAGTGCTAATTTTTATTTTATTTATTTACCTATATCTTGACACAGGCAGATCAGTCTAATGGTAAGGCCTATAAGGTTATTTCACTTCCATTATAATGTAATCAGACTCTTTGATGGTATTGCTTCTAAATTATTTATTCCATTTTAAAAGGAGGAAAAGGTACATCTAGGTTAACTAAATATAGAAAATTTCAGGAAATATAATTTATGATAAATATTGGCATAAAAGATTATGTTTACATCATGTTACTATTTATATTTTCATATTTTACACACTCTCAAAGTACAAAGGAAATTATATTAATACAGAAATTAAGTTTGTGCACAAACTTTTTCAAAATTATGAAATGCAAATGGTCAAATTATCAAATAAATGTTTTTTTGGACAGATTGCTCCTAACAGCAATGGGAAAATATTGCAAATGTGTAATGTGATTGAGTTTGCTTTCATAAGAGGACCTTCATTCCTGTATATTCTTATTTTAAAAACACAACTTTAATTTTCTATTCATGCCGTTGCATCACTTTGAAGTGTAAATATATATCTTAATTGCAAACACGCACAGTTTGGACAAAATAGCAGGTTGATACTTACAGAAACCACAGCAATACTCTTCAGAAGTCAGTTAATGCTGCATTCTGGTGTGCAAAGGCCAGCATATGAGAAAGTATGGAAGCCTTGTTTACAGACAATAATTGAAGATTAATTTTTTTTATCTTTCTTTCAAAATCCATGTTGCCAGACTTGATCATTAAGTGCACCATTTTAAACTTAATGAGATTTCCAATTGTGCACAGTCAATGACATGCTCAAATATAAATAACATTGAAAGATTTATTTCAGAATGCAAACATAGGGTACGTCTACACTTGCTCCCTAGTTTGAACTTTGGATGCAAATGTAGGCGACCAAAATTGCTAATGAAGCGGGGATTTAAATATCCCGCGCTTCATTAGCATGATCTTGCCGGCGCATTACTCCGCTCAACAGCTACTTCGAAAGTGAAAGTGTGCGCCAGGACACATTAGTTTGAACCAACCCCCTTGGTTCGAACTAATGTTACTCCTCAAAAAATGAACACGTGTAGACGTACCCTTAGCAAAAGCTAACATTTCTCACTCGCCCTTACATGACAAGTCTGTGGCTGTCTAGACTACAGTTTTTTTAAGTGGCCTTTTTTTCGAAAAAGCTTCACCTGCTTCTAGACTAGATTTTTTCGACTGCGGTAAACCTCATTTTACAAGGAAGAAAATATTTTTTCAAAAGAGCTCTTTCGAAAAAAGGCGTTCTTGAATGCAAACCGGGCTTTTTCGGAAGAGAGCATCCAGATTGCCAGGGTGCTCTCTTTCAAAATTGCGGCTCTTTTTCAAAAAAAGTGGTTACTGTCTAGATGATCTCTTTCGAAAGAGGCTTGTAGTCTAGACATAGCCTACAGTATTTGACCAAAAAAGCTAACAATTAAAAAAATATATTATTATTATCACTATTATTGTTTAATTTTCTTCTTTATAACAAAAGCTGAAGGGATTTTCCCCTCAGACAATCCCTAATAATTTCACTTTGGGGTTGAGAGAAAACATAGGGGCTACGTCTAGACTGGCATGATTTTCCACAAATGCTTTTAACGGAAAAATTTTTCCGTTAAAAGCATTTGCGGAAAAGAGCGTCTAGATTGGCACGGACGCTTTTCTGCAAAAGCACTTTTTGCGGAAAAGCGTCCATGCCAATCTAGATGCGGTTTTGTGCAAGAAAGCCCCGATCGCCATTTTCGCGATCGGGGCTATCGGGGCTTTCTTGTGCAAAACAATACCGTGTTGTCTACATTAGCCCTCTTGCGCAAAAGCATTTGCGCAAGAGGGCTTTTGCCCGAACAGGAGCAGCATAGCATTTCTGCAAGAACACTGACAATCTTACATGAGATCGTCAGTGTTCTTGCGGAAATTCAAGCGGCCAGTGTAGACAGCTGGCAAGTTTTTCCGCAAGAGCAGCTGCTTTTGTGGAAAACCTTGCCAGTCTAGACGCAGCCAGGATGTTTTCCAACAGCAAAACATATCTGTAAGTTAAGACCTCATGAAAAACAAGGGGTTAATAATGGGAATAATTTTGCAATCGCAGCCAACTCTTTAGCTAGTACATGTATTATTCATGGATAACAGTTCTCAAACTGTGGCTATGTGTTTCATTGAGAGCAGAAAATGACTTCTCATTTCCATATGATGATTTGCATTAAAAAACATTTAAAATAGTTGTATAATACTACTTTTTCATGCAAACAGTAACTGCAGCTTACTCATAGAACAGGTGGTGTGTGCAAATCACAAACCAAAGGAAAGTCTGTTCATGAGAAACTCTACTAGGGTATAGACCAGACTACAACCTTATGAAAGTTTTAGAATTCTTGTGATTAGTGTGCATTTGCCTATATTTGCATGGGTGGATGTGTATTCATATCTAATTAGTGACTTTCATTGATTCAAACATGATTGTGTCTCTTCATTCAAACCAAGGTGCCTAAAGTTAGGCACCTAAACCCATATTTACACACCTGAGTAACAATGGCTTGCTTTCATAAGTATTGAACAACTGCAGTGAACATTCATCATAATGGCTGTTACTAGTGCTCAGGACTACTGAAAAAAATCAAGGCATTGAAGCAAAACAATTGGAAAATGATGGCCAATATATTTACCCAAAATAAAAGATTTAGGGGATCTAATATCCTCCTGCATTTCACAGAGGATTGTCAGACACTCCCATTTCAGCAGAACAGAGGAGCATATTTCTTAAAATACAGGCTACATAATAACTTCAGTACTGAATGCATTATACTTCATTTCTGCACTACCCCCGCTGGATACAATCTGTATAGGAAGAGTGATCCAAATACTGCATTGCACATATCTGACTAGTCTTGCAATCTCCTTCACAGACAATGCTTTTGTTGTAACTCACAATGAAATTATTGTAATATTGTTGAAACAATTTGCTATGTGGTATAGCGAATTGCTTTGCCATTTCATATAAATTTTCTGGCTTCAAGTCTTCAATATCATATGCTTTGGTCAGGATGTATTCTAGTTTCCAGTCCGACTCATTTTTCATGTTTGCATCTGTGAGGTTCAAGTAAAACTGCCAAAGATCCTACAGATCCAAAAAAGAGAGAGAGAGAGAGCACACAGTTGTATTGCTTTTTAGCTTGCTTCATTAAGTTTTTAATATTGATTAGGAAGCTGTCACTGCTTATTATTCACAACTGAGTAAGAGGTCATGCCCCACCACAAGAGTTGGGCTCACATCATAAGCTGACACTTGTATGGCAATGATGGTGGGGGAGAAAAAGAGAAGAGAGACAAAAGGGGTACACTTTAAACTCAGCTACACTATTGGAGGGTCTTTACTTCAAAGAAAGGAAACCCGAGTCCCTTATGCACATCTCTGGTGAGCTGGCCAAATTAACATCTAAAACAGAACTAGGTTCCATATAGAGGGAAAAACATACTAAAGGCTGAACTCATTTTTTCACGTGCACCATTTGTTGGGCATACAGATACATGGCCCATGGAGGCCATGGGAAGAACCTCAGGAAATGATCATCTGTAGGAGTGAGGATCACGTAAGAAATGGGTAGCAGATAAGCACATAAGTTTTGCCATTGACTCCAGTGAGGTCAAGTTTTCACCCCTGAACCTTCAGGAAATTCTCTTCTGGTGTTTTATACAGTGCCAGACTAAGAGCATCAAAGTTTTCTGTCACCAAAACTCACACATGGCTAAAAAGAAACCTATCTAGACGGGCCAGGATTTTACCTGACTTTCCCACTGCTGAACAAAAGTTTTTTTTCTGACTTTTATTCTGTTTTCGAGGGTTTAGGCGGCAGAAATAAAAGTGGGAAGTGGATCTTTCAGGCTCATCAGAGGCTGCATAGTTCCTATTTGAAGTTTTTTCCCTTCCGCCTTCTACCATTAAGAAGACAGAACCTAGCACCAACCTGGCAGCTAGACATGCAGTATGAAAAAGGCCTGAACTGTAGCTATTTTAAGACTGAACACTAACACAATACTTTTAATTGTTACATACCAACAAGTTATAATGAAAAGGATCATACTGATATAATCTGATTCCAGGATTGTTGGACTCCTTCTGAAACACACTTTTCACTGGAGTCACAGCAGGTGCCACAAACAAGGAATTTATTGGGTTTTCTGAAAAACAAATTGTGAAATAATCATTTTCCTTAGGATAAATGCTTTTAGAAATGCATTGTTTACATAGAGAACAAACAAGACAAGACCCAAGAGTATTTTAGTGATTTTTGCACTGGGATAACTGCACCAGTAAAACTGCTCAGCATAGGGGTGCTGCATTGCTTCAAAGCTAGATAAGTCTCCCCCATCTGAACACCATCTTACATTAATGCAGCACATCTACATTGGACACCTGCACTAGAATACCTGTATTTGCATAAAATTCCAGGATGTAGCCATACTCCGTGTATCCAGTGCATTTCTGTTAGCCTGATGACAGATATGGCCATTTTCTGAAACAACCGTATTGAAACAAAAATAGCAGTCATGTATAGCACAGAGAGACCAGACTAACACGGCTACCTCTCTGTAACCTTATTGAAGGCAGACAAAGTGGGTGAGGTCATTTTTCTTTTATTGGATACATATTTTTAGGCTATAATAACTTCAGAGAGCTACCACCAGGAGAGATTCACATATTCTGATCCAGACTAGATTCTTTAGAGAAGCAACAGACAAAGTAAGGACTTCTGGATAAACACCCTGGCTATGTCTACACTGCAGGCTCCAAAAACTTGTACAAATGTACATGGCAATGTGGATGTGCTCTTGCACAAGAACTTTTTGTGCAAAAGTTCAGTTCTTGTGCAAGAAGCCTGCAGTGTAGACATAGCCCCTGAGTTTAAAGTGTCCCAGGGAGGCCCCAATCCTTCCTTTTATTATTTTATTTGTAATATTTTTACGTTAAGAATAAGCACGTCTGAGGAGAAGGAAAAGCAGGCCTACTCATAATCATGCAGTTTGAGCTGCAGGGACACTTGGTGTAGACAGGGAGCTGTGCGGCCTGACAATACCCTGGTCAGGAGGGACAGAGAAAGACTCTGCAGGTCGCCACCCAAGAGAGCCGATGGCTAGGAAGCCAGAAGCCTGAGAGTGGGTGCCCTAGCTGGACTATGGAGAGGGAAATCAGGTTCTGGTGCCCTAAGCTGTGACACACCTCACTAAAGGAAATAGATCCGCGCTATTTTCAAGTTACATCTTACATGCAAATTCCTTTATGTTTTTGGTATTATCAGACGTGCCAGGAGCCGACAACAATTTATGCTGAAGCTCACCTGACTAGACTATTAGGGTATGTCTACACTACAGTGTTATTTTGAAATAGCTAATTCGAAATAAATTATTTTGAAGTATGGCGTCTACACACACATTTTGAAATAATGTTTTGCTATTTCGAAATAGCGTGTCCACACTAAGTGGACGCTGAATTGCATTTAAGGCCAGCCAGAACCAGGTCCAGCAGGGCATCAGGTGAGGAGTGTCTTAGCCTCAGGCAGCAGCCACACAATCTGAGGCTTGTGCTTAAAGGGAAACTCCGCCCCCCCCCCCCCTCCCAAGGTTTCCCTGCTTGCTTGCCTACCTCGTTGAGGTACATCAAAGCATTTTGTGTCTGCATGCTCTGCTTGCCCTCACTCGGACACCACAGCAGTCTGCAACATGGAGCAGGAGCTGCCCCTGGGCATGCTAGTGCTTCTCTTGGACGCACTGCTGCGAACCTGGCTGCACTTTCTGAAGGCTGCCATCCGGGAGGTCCATTGGGGGGCTGTCAGTATCCAGGAGGCCCTGCGGGAGAGCTTCCACCCTGAGGAGCGCTAACAGTCTCCCTGGTCTGCCCCACTTGGGGCTTGTGCCTCATTCCTCCCTCACGTCCTTCCACTTACTCCTCCCTAACCCCCCTTCCTGATGTCAAATAAAATACATTTTTTCATAAACAGGAACTGTCTTTATTGAACAAAACTGGGGAGGGCGGGGGAATGAAACTCTGGTGAGACTGGGGAAAGGAGGTGGGAGAAGGGAGGACAGAGGAAGGGGAAACCTGCGAGGAGGGAGCTGGAAGGGGAAAGCAATGGGAAGAAGGGGGAGGGGAAACTTAGGGGTGGGAGTCTTGCCGGGCCAACTGTCTCCCAGCATTGCGGATGCGGGGGCCTTGGTGTCCCCGGAGGGATGGGGCGGGGATGGAAGGTGCGGAGGGAGAGAAGGAGTGGGAGGAGGAGCGGTAGCTGGGGAGGCAGCAGGTGCTGGAGCGGCAGGAGGCAACACGCCTCACATGATGTTACCTTCCCGGATGACACTGGTGATGGGTCTCCCGGAATGGCTGGGGGAGCCTGGCTGGGGGGGATGGGCCCCCGCCATCAGGGTCTGCAGATGCTGGCAGATGGCACGGCCCTGGGCAAGCTGCTCCCGCCGGAGCTCCAGATCTTCTTGCACCCAGTTCTGGAGGGTGCAGTGCAGGGCTCGCAGGGCCCCCAGCTGCTGCTGTTGGTACCCCTCCACGGCACAGGTGGTCCTGCGGAGCCCTCAGGTGTGGAAGCATGTCCCAGGTGGGGTGGTGCAGCTGTGGAGAAACAAGAGAAGTGGTCAATTATCCCTGAGGACACAGTGGGTGAAGCCAAGTCCTCTTCTTGCACCCAGTTCTGGAGGGTGCAGTGCAGGGCTCGCAGGGCCCCCAGCTGCTGCTGTTGGTACCCCTCCACGGCACAGGTGGTCCTGCGGAGCCCTCAGGTGTGGAAGCATGTCCCAGGTGGGGTGGTGCAGCTGTGGAGAAACAAGAGAAGTGGTCAATTATCCCTGAGGACACAGTGGGTGAAGCCAAGTCCCCCTCTGCAAGGTGAGGATGACCATTCCCTGCACCATCAGAGCTGATGTGCTTGCACACAGGTCATGTTCGGAATGTCCTGCTATCCCCGGGAGTGGGAACTTCACCGAGACTGCACCCATGCCCCTGTGCTGTGTATAGTGTGGGTGAGGTGGGGGGGAGAGGTTCCTTGCCTCTGTGCAGAATGGCCTTGTGGAGGGAGGGTGATCTGCTGTGTCCCAGCCCAGGGTCAGGAGCATGTCATGTCTCTTCACACACGCATGTGGCTAATAGGCCAAGGCCTGTGTGGCAGCCAGGTGGGGCCACGTGCTGAGGAGTGGCACGGCACTTGCTCACACGTGCACAGGTTGCTGCATGATCCATGGTAAGCAAGGCCCATGTGCGCGGTCCGTGATCTCCCTCCCCACCCTCCAAAAAGGGGACAGTGAGGGCACTCACATGTTGTTGTCTCCCCGGATAACACCGGTGACAGGTCTGCTGGAACGGCTCAAGGGTCCTGGCTGCGTGGCATGCTCCCTCTGAGCTCCTGCAGCTCCTCCTCCATGCCCTGGTCAGGGCCCTCCGCTCCAGGATCGATGCCCCCCGGGATGGCACGGACCGTCCCACCCCCAGGATGAGGTCCAGGGTGTCAAAATAGAGGCAGGTGTCTTCCCCTGTTTGGGAGCTGCCCCATGTGGCCCTGGCATAGGCCTGCCACAGTTCCTTAATTTTCATGCGCACCTGCTCCTTGGTGCGCACGTGGCCTTTGGTGGCCAGGCTATCAGTCATCCATCTGTAGACGGCTGCGTTCCTCCGTCTAGTGCAGCGATCATGGACATTGGAGGCATCCCTCCAAACCTCAATCAGGACCATGATCTCAGCACTGGATCAGAAAGGCACCCGCCTTCTCTGGCCCCTGGCAGGCTCCTGGGATCTGGGGGACTGGGCTCGGGGAACAGTGGAGGGCTGGCTGGCACTGGCTGCATGGCTCATGGTGGGGCCACTGGGTCAGGGGCAGCGACTGCTGGCTTTGTGCTGGCAGGCCTGGAGCTGGCATAGGCACTGTGGCCAGAGTCTACCTCTTTAAGGACTCTAGGGTTGGGGGAGAGGAGAGGAGAGGAAGTTTTCCTGGGTGTGCCCAGAGTGGCCACTAGGGCACCCTGGGAAGGGCTGGAGGCCCCCTATTTTGAAATAAGCATCTACACAGCACTTATTTCAAATTTGGTGTTATTCCTCATAGAATGAGGTTTACCAAATTCAAAATAAGCGCTCCGCTATTTCAAATTAATATCGAAATAGCGGTTTGGCTGTGTAGATGCTAGGAAAGTTTTTTCAAAATAACGGCTGTTATTTCGAAATAACTTTGTTGTGTACATATACCCTTAGAGAAACCCTTGCTGGCACCTCTTAGGTCTACCCTGCTCTTAAGAAAAAGTCAAAGGGATGGCTTTTGAAGACAGATGAAAACACAGGTACATGTATTTAGATGATCTCTAAGAAGAAAGTTAGATATTATTTTATGCAGCTGACGTAACAGAGCAGATGTCTGAAGGCTGAATGCCACCGGTGAGTAGAAGCTCTGAAAGCTGAAGAGCAGTGCTAGAAAGCAGCAGACTCATCTGAAAGAGATGCAATTGACTCTGTATCTCAATACATGGATTTTGGCTGCAAATTCCAATTGAGTTTGAAAACAGCAAAGCTTTGTCAGTAAGAAAATGCCTGCAATGAAAACAGTCTCAAAAGAGCCAAGTCATAGGGTACGTCTAGACTACATGCCTCTGTCGCCAGAGGCATGTAGATTAGGCTACCAGACATAGGAAAATGAAGCGTCGATTTAAATAATCGCCGCTTCATTTAAATTTACATGGCTGCCGCGCTGAGCCGACAAACAGCTGATCAGCTGTTTGTTGGTAGTCTGGACGCGCGGGTGTCGACATCAAAGGTATTTGTCGACCACCCAGGTATGCCTCCTGGGATGAGGCTTACCTGGGTGGTCGACAAATACCTTTGATGTAGACGCCCGCGCGTCCAGACTATCGCGTTGAGCCAACAAACAACTGATCAGCTGTTTGTCGGCTCAGCGCGGCAGCCATGTAAATTTAAATGAAGCGGCGATTATTTAAATCGACGCTTCATTTTCCTATGTCTGGTAGCCTAATCTACATGCCTCTGGCGACAGAGGCATGTAGTCTAGATGTACCTATAGTTAGCAACATTAGACATGTCCGTGCTTACTTCTGTCAAAGGAACAGGACAATAAAACAGATTTAGCAGCAGAGTATTTAAATATTTAAGCATCAATTTCTAATAAAAACAATGTCCCTTGCAGCCACACACACTTAAAAATAAGCGATTTCAGAGCTCAATGCAAAACCTTCAACGCTGGGTACTTATCCCAAAGGGAAATCACCTGATCAATGAGATGGCCCAAAGACAATTTCTTTTTGCCCCTTCTCCCCATTATCTTAATTAACTTTGAAGTAGCAGGGAACCCTGCAGAGAGGCTCAATAATGATGCAGGAAACAAAAAGCAGAACACATTTCCTTGGCCTGAGAACATTCCCTTTGACACACATAACACAGAACAGGAACTGAACAGTGTAATTTGACCATGTCACCGAAACAGAAGAGAGGAAAGGCTAGAGATGCTTGTCTAGGAATTACTAGTGTTAATTAGAAGTGTGATGCTTACAAAGTCTCTTCTAGTATCAACAGAAAAGGAATATATGGACAGTTTATCTTACAATACAATGTGTAGTTCTTCTGCATAGTTCTCATTACAGGAATTTTGGAAGAACAGCATTCATACAGTGTTGCATAGTAAGTGTTCAACAACCTTGATAAAATATAAATAAATGACACCTTCATCCACCTTTATTTTTAAAAATAATTCACTCCAGAGTGTGATGGCCCCAACACATACCAAAACATTATTTTACTTGAAGCCCATCCAGAAAGGATGCAGCAAAGGCACTTGTATTTTACAAAATCATTACCTCTCTCATCCAGAAGGATCATGATACTATCTCTATGAGTGTGTCCAAAAAACTGTCCAGCAATAACACCACTGTACTTGCGAAAAATCTTTACTAATCTCTCATTGTAATATTCTCTTATTGCAGTAGTGTTCCTTGCAAAAGGCAGATATCCTACTGGCACATGTCCTATCACATATACCTAAAAGATAAGAAACAACATATATTTCATCCTCATACGAAAAACATTTTTAGCTTTACCCAAGACCTCATTAACACTCTCATAATAATACTGTCTTTGACAGACTTTGCCATCCTCAACCTTATAAGTTAATTTTATTAGAGCAGCATGAGTAATTAATAACAGAGTACGTAATTATGAACCAATATTTAGAAACTTTACATCAGAAAATGAGCATTATAGGTGAATACATTTATTACAATATTAGAGAAGTACCAACTCCTAGAGCTAAAGCTGCATATATTTCCTTTATAAACCTTTCTTTTTGGACATTTGTAATTCTCTGAAAAATATTTGCCAGGGTGACTTTTTTAGCATTCTTCTTTGGACAAGTTTGACTATTTTGGGGAAAAATATGTAAAAAGATTTCAGTCATTTAGGAGAGAAGGAGAGTGAAAAAATACACTTGTACCATTATTTTTATTTAATAAAATGTATTGAACTGTTTTAGGTTCCATAAAAAAGGGTTGATATTTTATTGCAGGATCTGATCAGTAATGGTGTAATTAAATACTGTAGCATAATGTATCCACACAAGAGACAAAACTGTGCGAGCAATTTTAACTTTTATTCCCTTACTTTTGCATGCTCAGCAGCCTGAACAATATTTTGTGTTCAGAATGAGGATAGTGTCTGTGAAATAAGGCATGCTTTTCATGTTTATGAGCTGCTAAAAGGAAATAATGTAATATTTGTACTGCAAGTACATATACAAATACACCCATGTTCTCTGCTAAATTGATATAGATGCAACTTTCCAATCAATTTCCCATTTAAATAGGAAATAGATCCTCTTTATCAAGTATTGTAGTTTTGTGGATAATCCCATTTGGGATTTCCCACAGCAGTGAAAGCTCTGAAACAGGTATGATTTTGATCTCAGTTGCAACACCAGAGATCAGGAGAGAGATCAGAATTATAATGGTATTAAACCTGTATAAGTCAGACCAAAGTCAAGTCTCTCTTCTTTCTTAGTGCTCACTACTACACACAGCAGGTAGAAAATACACATTTCTTAAAGATTATACCCGAACAAATCAATTGCAAATTCTGAAAACAATAGTCTTGAAACTTGATTCAGTTCTCTTTTCCTTTTGCTAGCATTCTTTCAATGACACAAATAGTTATGATGGATTCCACTACCGACATTGAGTTGATTGTCTTCTGCATGTTATCCCTTACCTTCTCCTGCTTTTGAAGAGAGATTTCTAGTGTGCTCTCCAACCAGGCTAACTGGTTGGCTGGGTCAGTTATATTCAGAGTCACATGGTTGGGGCTGTAATATAGGTTTGTGTTCAAACTGATTATCCTGAGTGGCTGAGAGCTAGCATTGGATTGAAATAATTGTGTATAAAAACCACCTGTGAAAACAAGATCAACATGATTTAGAACAAGAATGCTTTTGAAACAAATTCAGAGTGAAAGTACCACACTGACTATTGGAATAGTAAGACTTCAATCTGCCAGATTCTGACAAGCTTACTCATTTTGAAGAACACCTTATTTCACAAGTAATCTAGTTGATTTCACTGTATTAAATATCATTCAGAGGTGAGGAAAATGGTGTAGGACATTTTTAGGACCTACTTCTACTTTTTGCCCTTTGTTTGTCAGTTTGCAAATGTGTATGAATTGGGTAATTGCAAAAGTAGTGCCAAATGCAACAACAGTATTTCAGACATGAGGAGAATTCTTAAAATTAGAGTTGTGCAAGTTCATTGATTTTTGTGTAGTTAAAGGGCATCTGACTTCCAAAACAGTGGTCCAGTTTAAGAAAATACAATGTTTTCCCAGCCACTCATATTCATGTAGTAGAGTGAAAAATTAATCCACAACCATGGCCAAGCCTCTATACCATACAGCACAACCTCAAAATTACGAATGCCAGTTATGAACTGACCAGTCAACCACACGCTTCTTTTGGAGCCAGTAATATACAATCAGGAAGTGGCAGAGACCAAGCAAATACAGTACAGTGCCTTGTGAAACATAAACTACTAAAAAAAATAGAAAGTATCATTTTTTCTTCTACATAGTAACATTTCAAAGCTGTATTAAGTCAATTTTCAGTCGTACACTTTTGAAAGAACAACCATAACATTTTGCTCATGCTTACAAACATTTCAGAGTTACAAATAACCTCCATTCCCAAGATGTTCATAACGTTAAGGCTTTACTGTTGTACATACATACTGTGGAGCAGATCCCCAGCTAGTATAGCTCCACTGACGTCAATTAACACCAGCAGAGGATGTGCCCCTTTCACATTAATTTTTAATTAGAGTTTCTCTCTTCCTTTCTTGCTGTCAGGTTCTTCTTACCCAGCCTTTCCTATTCTAAACACCAACCCCCAAATATTCCAGTTCAAATTAAACTTCCAAACCTAAAGCATTTGTGAGGGTTGGAAATTGAGCTGAGTTTGTCAACCCCTTGGCTTTAAAAAAATCATTATAGGATAAGACTATAATAATATCTGATGGAATAAATTAGATACAGAACATTTTAATTAATTGTATAATCTCAGTGATTATTTGCTAGCTCCTCATATTGCATAAAGCATTATTAGATCTTTGAAACTTGCTCTTTGAAATGCAAATAGTCTCAAAATAAGTAAACAATTCTTCAATTTTTTTTTGAATCTCTGAGTTCACATCCTTGATAGTTATACACTTATTTTAGATTGTGAACTCTTCCATGCAGGGAGTGAGTCCCTTATGTTTGTGCAAAGCTTACAACATTGTAGGTGCTACCCAAAGCAAAGAATGATTATTTACTCTAGAACAAGAATAAAGTATCACTATAAGAATCACTCTAGACAGGAATTGTTATACAGCAAAATCAATAATGCTTTTACCTCTAGAGAAATTGGGCCAAATTCTCTACTGCACTGATTCATCCTTACACATAGTGCAGTAAACAGGGTAAATCTATAGAACTACCAGTCCTCTCAGCATTCAGTTTATAAAATGTAGGTGTATAAAATGAATTTTACCTTTCTTGAAGGTACTGACTGCATCATCAGTTAACCAAGGTGTCCAGAAATTTGCTACTGCATTGTAAACTTCATTGGCAGATACAGGCAGCTGATCCTGTCCAAAAAAAAAAAAAAAAAAACTTTCATCAGTCTGAGCACACAAATTCATGGATATTTAAAGTCAGAAGGAACCATCTAGTTTGATCTCTTGGAAAACACAAGCCACAAACTCTCATCCAGCTTGTCGAGGAGGGGGAGCTCAAGGCACTCTTCTGACCATAAGGTATCACTGATGAGCAGTGCAGCTCTGGCATTTCTTTATACTGTAAGGCTATGTCTACATTGCGCTTTCTTGCACAAGAACATATGCAAATGAGGCATGGTGATGAATATCATCATGCCTCATTTGCATACTTAATGAGCTGCCATTTTTGCACCAGGGGCTTTTGAGCAAGAAGGAGCAGTCTACACTGCTCCTGAAAATAAGCAGCAGAACGGCTCTTGCGTAAGAGGGGGGTTTTGCGCAGGAAGGAGCAGTGTAGACTGCTCCTTTTTGCGCAAAAGCCCCTTGCGCAAAAATGGCAGCTCATTAAGATATTCATCGCTGAGCCTCATTTGCATATGTTCTTGCGCAAGAAAGCGCAATGTAGACGTAGCCTAACAAAGATATGTGGGGCATGCAGCAAAAAGACTTTTATGGCCCTATTTACATGCAAAGCCTGAAAGACATTTTGTCCATAGGCCCTGAGACAGAGGCTCTACCCCTAAGTGCCTACAAAGTTTAATTTTTTACATTGCATTTAAATAAAACTGAAAACCACCACAATATTATTTTCCTCTTTTTTGCTCCTATACTAAAAATGTGAACAGTCTTTTTTAGGAGGAAAAGCTTTCCATTTTCTGTCTCAGTTTGAGGAGAGATTTACTCTCATTAGGCTTTGCAGAGCCATTTGAGCATTGCTTGGGTCAGGTGAAAGTGCAGGAGTCCAAGTTAAGGATACTGATAAAACTTTTATGTGTAAAAATCAAAACAAAATGGAAGAGGCACCCTCCCCCAGAACAGCCTAGTGGTTAGGGCACTCACCAGGGCTATCAGAGGTCCAGGTTCAAGTAATCAGAACAAAATGCCTGAATTTCAATCAGAATTGAATGTGAAGTCTTTTTTTTTATGGCATTTCACATCACTACAGGTTCAATCTCTATGATCCAGACTTCCATAGTCCAGCAACATCTTTGGTCTGGCATCCCCATTAGGGACATCAATGTGTAGTTAACTATAAGATTAACTAATAATTTGTTGACTACTCGCATCCCCTCTCCACTCTCCCCCCTTCCCTCCACCAGGGTGGCAGAAAGCAGGAGCTGGTGCTGGAAGCAGGAGCCAGTACTGGGGGGAGCTGGTTTAAAAGATAGGTTTTTGCCTACACCACCCAGCAACCCCTGTATCAGAGGCAGCAGCGCGGGGCTGCCAGCAGCTGGTCTGCGCAGAGAGCTGGTTTTTAAACAGGCTCCCCTTGCAGACCAGGTCCAGCCTGCCACCCTGTGCTGCTCCTCTCACGTATAGGCATCAGCACGGGGATGCAGGGGGCTCCCCAGGAGTGGGGCTGGGAGCTCACTGCCTACTGACCCACCCCAGGAACTATCAAATAGTCATGTAACTGTAAAGATTTCATGCAGTTACATGACTATTCAATTACCCGATATCTAACATCCCTAATCCCCATGGGTGCTCCCAGGTTTGAGCACTCACAGGGAAAAGCCAGGCCCCACACTCAGCAAGTGCTCCACCTCCCTCCCAGAGTACCATAAGTATTCAGGAATAGTCAACATGGATTTACCAAAGGCAAGTCATGCCTGACCAATGTGGTTTCCTTCTATGACACTGGTAACTGGCTCTGTGGACATGGGGAAGTCAGTGGATGTGATTAAACTTGACTTTTGTAAAACTTTTGATATGATCTCCCACAATATTCTTGCCAGCAAGTTAAAGTAGTATGGATTGCATAAATGAAAAATAAGGAGGATAGAAAGTTGGCTTGATAATCGGGCACAACAGGTAGTGATCAATGACTCGCTGTCTGGTTGTCGGTTGGTATCAAGCAGAGTGCACCAAGGGTCGTTTCTGGGGCTGGTTTTGTTCAACATCTTCATTAATTACCTGGATGAGGGGATGAACTGCACCCTCCACAAACTTGTGGGTGACACTAAACTAGGGGGAGAGGTAGTTATGTTGGAGGGTAGGGATAGGATCCATAGTGACCTAGACAAATTGGAGTATTGGGCCAAAAGAAATCTGATGAGATTTAACAAGGACAAGTGCAGAGTCCTGCACTTGAGATGGAAGAATCCCAAGCACTGTTACAGGCTGAGGACCAACTGGCTAGGGTGCATTAGGAGGAGCAGCACTGTCAGCAGATCTAGAGAAGTGATTATTCTCCTTTATTTGGCACTGATGAGACCACATCTGGAGTACTGCATCCAATTCTTAGCCCCGATTACAGAAAGGATATGGATGTATTGGAGAAAGTCCAGCGGAGGGCAACAAAAGTTATTAGGGAGCTGGCGCACAATTTACGAGGAGAGGCTGAGGGATTTGGGCTTATTTAGTCTACAGAAGATTGAGGGGGAATTTGATAGCAGCCTTTAACTACCTGAAGGGGGCCTCCAAAGAGGATGGAGAGAGGCAGTTCGCAGTGGTGACAGTTGATAGAACGAGGAGCAATGGTCTCAACTTACAGTGGGGGAGGTCTAGGTTGTATATCAGGAAAAACTATTTCACTAGGAGAGTGGTGAAGCACTGGTTACCTAGGCAGGTGATGTAATCTCCATTCCTAGAGGTTTTTAAGTCCCGGCTTGACAAAGCCCTGGCTGGGATGATTTAGTTAGGATTGGTCCTGCTTTGGGCAGGAGGCTGGACTTGATGACCTCCTGAGGTCTCTTCCAGCCCTAGAAGTCTATAAATCTAAGTAGCTCATTTGTGGTC